ATTTATATTAACACGCAGCGATTTAAAGAGCCCACCTCTGTTTACGCCCCCCAACCCTCACAACAGTTGATGAGTAAAATAACAAAGTCAGACAGTATATATCAAACTCAAGGTCATGAACCTAAAACTGCGTTCATTTCAAATGTAATGGACATAGAATGCCATCTAGTGGCCTTCAGAAGAACGTTCCAGCTTAAAATGCATATAGACATCATCCGTCCTCGGAATGCAATCTCTAGTGATGCGTGGATGGAACGCCTGTTCTGAAAGGGTTAAACAGTGAAAGCAGTACCTTTTATCTGTTAACCCTATGACGCGCGGTGGTCGCGCCCTGAAACCACCAATATTCGAATTTTTTTCTCCTCTTCTTTTCGAAATTTTTGAATGAAAATCAATTGATTACTGATCTTTTACCTCTAATTAACACAAAATGACTGCAGATTCATACATGTTGGTCTCAGTACTTCAAATTGGATGGATGCCTTTTAAAATTCGTTTTTAATGAGACAAAATAACTTCCTTTCATTAATATAAACAACTTTAAATTTCAAAAGTTATTCATAACACATTATGATTTCTATCATAAACAATAAAAAATAGCAATAATTAAACTGCATATATAAAAAAAACCCTCTATATGTATGGCATTTGCTTTGTGGTTTCAGGGCACGACCACTGCACCACTAGAGCATTGTGCACTGCTCTTGACAATGGCGTTTGCTTGCTTCTCAAATAGGAATGTTTATTTTTACCCGGATATAGATAAGGGTTTTTGAAACCACCTATTTATTTTATTACTAAAAAATACATGCACCTGCCCAGTAAAAAGGTCTTTCTTTTCCAGAGACTTTTCTCTGACCTCAACACACTTGCTTCTCAAGCTAGTATTGTGATTTTATAAATTATTTCCTGTGGTTTAAATTTAATGTAAATATACTTTGATGTAGTTAAAAATAAAAATCGCATAAAGTTTTATTTAAATTAAAAATATTTTCGAATATTTGGGACGAAATATGAATAAAATACGTATGAAGGAAAAACGATCTGTACTAAAGCCAAATAAAAACAAGCCCTCCCTCCCCCATTACATAAAAAACACATTTCATGTGCCAGATCAAGAACTAAATAACACTGGACTATACCAGGGAAATTTAGATCCGGCAGTGTGGCATTTTGTAGCACAAGGAAGGAACCTCATAAACAATTCATGTGCAAAACATGCATGCACCAAAAAGACAAACATTCTTTGAAACCGGCTACAAAAAAATTGTTCTTTGAAATTAAAAAAAAAACAGTCTTATTCTTATTTTACTGAGTTTTTTTAATCCATTTAGCCAAACGTCCTTATTATGTAGGTACTTATATTTTCACTGCTATAAAAAATTACATAAATGTTTATTTTTAAATTTTTTCTGACAATTTACTTTGTAAAATAATGTAAAAAAATTATATATAATGCAATTCTTACACACATTTTTTTTAAATTCGTAAATTTCGCCATTTATTGGAAACGCCGCACGGAGAAAGGTAAGTTTTTTTTTTCTCCAACTACCTTAGTAAGTGTGAAAGTCCTAGACGCACGGTGGTTTCACAGTGCGACCATCACCCACAGAACAATGGGCAAGAATAGATTTTTTTTAATTCATATATTATTTGTCTCTAGGATCAAAATATTCAATTTCTAGAGTTTTTAGTTAAAAAAATTATAAAAATAATATCACACGCGTCAAAGGGTTTAAGTTTTCTTCTTTTTTGGTAATGTCATTGTTTGAGCTTTAGAAAAATTAAGCGAATCATGTTTTCTACTGCAACACGTGCACTTCTTAGCAGGAGAATCAGTACTTGCTGCCGTTGATAGTTACATTTTGGGTCACTTTATAAGGTATTTCTCCCGCCTTCTTGGAATGGTGGTCTGCATGCTGGGCACGTATTCCAGAGGTCTGTGGTTCGATTTACGGCGAAGGCATTGCTAATTTTTCATTTTGCCTGCTTCAAAAAATCTTAATGTCTCTACAATGGTGCCCAAACTAAAAAGGTTGTTCGATGATGATTCTCCACACCCGGGATTTGGCGATTGGGTCCCCTAAAAACCCCAGTCGCCCTTTAAAAGAGGGAGTATAAGGTATTTCTCCCGCCTTCTTTGTATGCTTTCGTGGTCTGCACGCTGGGCGCATATTTCAGAGATCTGTGATTCAATTCCCGGTGAAGGCGTTGGTAATTTTTTATCTTACCTGCTTCTAAAAATCCTAATGTCTCTACAACTTAACATTTTGGGTTTAACACTTGCACTTCTTTGATAGGCTCTTAAAAATTCCGAGGGTAAGCAAGACTCAACTAAAGTATGAAGAAGTGCAGCATGTTTATCTGTTAAGATGCCAAGTGTTTCCAGAAAACGAATTTATTGTTCCAGATTATCATATAATGCACATAAGTTATTAGAGAATTTACTAAAATTTGCATTTCTAGATCCAAGTTAAAAAATTCTTTCACATAAACTGCCACTTGCAAGTTATTTTGACCAAAACGAGTCTTAAAAAATTCTATGATCTTGGCATAATTAGCAGCTGTAGGGAGGAGAGGGACTTTCTATAACCTCCCTTGCATGCAAACCCTGAACAATACCTTCTAATAAATATTGAAATTTATCATTGTCAAATATAATAGTATCTTTGTCAATTTCTTTCAACCTGACTATTCCTGAATTTCACCATCAAATTTTCGCAATTCAAGCTTTGGAAGTTTAAATGTACAACAGTGAAGGATTTTGTAAATGCAGCTCTGTGAATCTTCTTTTCAAGTTTAATATCTTCTTTACCTTCCATTTTTTATACTTTAGAATTCCAAACAAGTGTCTCTTGCATCCTGCTGAGGGGTAACAGAAAAATGTTTGCTTATGCGTCAGAGTAAACTAGTAAACTATTATGATAACAGTTTGGTACGGACTCTTAACCCTTTCAGGACGGGCGTCCCATATACGCATTCCCTAAGAACGTCTCTTACAGCCGGGCGTCCCATCCATGCATCACTAGAGATGGCATTCAGGGGAAGGGTGATGCGTATACGCATTTTCAGCTGGAACGTTTTTCTGAAGGCCACTAGATGGCATCCTATGTCCATTACTTTTGAAATGAATACAATTTTAGGTTCCTGACCTTGTGTTTGATACATTCTGCTTGATTTTGGTATTTTACTCATCAACTGTTGCGAGAGTGGGGGGGGGGGAGAAAGCGTAAACAGAGGTGGGCTCTAAATCACTGCGTGCTAATGAAAACATTCGTGTGTCTGATTTATATCCAATTCCTTTTTTTATTCTATTTTTTCCCTCTTCTGTGTATGGTCTTTTAGGTTTACTGTGTGGAGCTTTTTTACGTTTTACATTGCCTTCAGATATATTTTCGTTTCTTCTCTTTTTATGTAGGATAGCCTCACCTCCAGTCTATTATGGCGGGAAGGTGCTATTTATCAGAGAAAGAATACCCTCGTATGGTTAGTGAACCAATAACTAACGCAAATGAGAGTGATGATTCATTTTCTAAAGAGTTCAAAAGTGATACTTTTTCCAAGAGTTAGAAAGTAATATTTCTCCATGCTTCGAGGTTTACCACACTCAGTCTTCATTTTAAATTTTGTTTCTTCTTACTGTAAATAGTCTTTATTGTGTTGTTTTATTAATTTTAAACTTTATTGATGGATTTTATCAATTAAAAATTTGAAATAATTTGAATAGTGCTTCCGAAAATTATTTTACAAGATAAGCAATTTTTTTAAGTATATTTTCATGTAAAGTAAAGAATGTTACTATGTGCTGATTTTAACATATATAAGAGCTCGGGTAATAATCTAAAATGATACCAAAAATTACGATGCTAGAAGTGAAACTTTTTTTTTATGATTATTTTTATAAAATTAGGCTTAGTGATGCAAAACCTCCATCCTGTACTTGGACTGCCTTCGATTCCCTTCCGTCCCGCACGAGCGTCTAAATAAAGTTGCACTGTCACGAAAAGGTTAAAGACTAATAAACGTGTTCTAAAGTTTTATTGTTGAAAATAACTTTGGATCTTAAAGAAATATGTCACTCATGTAAATAACAAAGTATTCTTTTAATAAGCCTACTTACTGCAAGCAAATATTTTTGGTTACCTTCTATAGTTATATTCTATAGTTGTCGCTTATAGAATTACCAAAAATATTTGGTTATTGTTGCCACTTCCAAGAAGCAAAAAACTAGCAATAATTATTACTGGCCAAACAACATTAAGTAGATACAATTAAATGAAAGTTCGTGTTGCATGTCATCTAAAATCTAACAGTTGCTATACTAATATCTGTATACTAACTTGGAATCTTTTAATAGTAATTGAAGATGATTTGAAGCGGTGGTAATAATATCTTCAGGCTCTGTGGATAGGCTTAACTTGGATTTCATCAGAGAAGAAATAAAAGAAAATTGACAAAAAGGCAGAATGTGCATTGCATTCTAATGTTGTCACATTGTACCTTGTTTTATACTGTTTGATGATGGAAAACCCATTTTGTTCTTCATTTTTATGGTTGTATTGATTGTGAATTTCATTTAGATGATTGTTATTGTATCTAAACATCATATGAAAACCCCATATCTCACTTTCTGGGACCGCATTGTACTCAAAATTTCTCATGTGTCAACAGTAATGGTTATGTTAAATGTTAGCATTGATATGTCTGTTGTTTCTGACTATTATGTGCCTAAGTTGGTCCTGAATAACATACAAATGAGCACATAAATGTTTTCATCAGTTGTAAAGTTTGTTTTTAAGTATAAGGATCACCACCAGTAGTATACAGTTTTTTAGAGAGATTGCTAGTCCTATATCTGTGAATTCTTCATTACATTATCTATCATTTATGCGTCAAGATGTATGTAAGGAGAAATAACTCTAAAAGCTTTTTAAAGCTATTTTGTTGTTTTGTGATATTAAATTTTTTTTGTATGATATTTATTTTTCTCAAAAATGTAGCTCCAAACTCAAACACAGAGAGCTGCCCTGCGGTATGAAAGAGCAAGTAGTGCTCATGCTGCAGCAAAGGAGATGGTTTATTTAGCAGAAGAAGGTTTGAAGAAAGAAGGAAGATGTTTTGATCCTGCTTGGCAAGAAATGTTAAATCATGCTACTCTTAGGGTAAAATATTTGCACATTCATTAAATTTATTACAGTTGTTAAACTGCATACTCATAGCATGAATTCATAAAATTTATTACAACAGCATACTCTCATAAAATTTTTTGTAGTTATTTATTTGTATTTGGGAACAAACTGTATAAGTTCTTTGTGTATTTAATGTCATATATTGGGTATTTAAAAAGATAATTTGGTTTTATTTCCTTAAATATACAATTCCAGTAATGTTTTTCAAAACAAGGTAGAGAAGTTTTTGTAAATAGTCTCATGTGGATAAAGGAGGGTTGCCAAAAAATAGAGGTTTCATGTGGTTTGCACAAGGTAAAAATTCAGTGAAGTCAACTTATGCATTAATTCATACTTATGATGCATTCATGTATATACCATATAAACATGAATGGATAAATTCTGCAGTTGCAGATAAAAATCAAAAGGGCAGTTTAAAGAACTGTTTTTCAGAAGTAAGGGTGTTTGGAAAAACACTTTTAGTAACTATGCTGCAATGTAACTTAATCTTTTTTATGAGGACTTGATTAATAATTCAGATTTTGAAAAACTTTTTTTATAAATTTTTATTAGCATTTTTTATTAATGTTTTGTTTAAATATTTTAAGTATCTTTTTTTTATCCTCAGTTCTTGTCAAAAATTTCATTTAATTTGTATTATGTATATATACTGAAATTTAGATTAGTATTTATATTGAAAGTTTTTCAGCAAAAGTCTTGTCATTTTAAAAAAAGAAACTAATTTTTTGACCTTTCAGAATTTAGCAACTGTCGTAATACAACAGAGGTGATTGTTTGACAATTATGTATTAATATGATAGGTATAACTGCTCCCCCATTGCCATTTGATAAACACTAAATTCCATTCTAGAATTTATTTCTAATAGTTTTTAAAACAATAAAGCTGTCATTCATGACATAATATTTTTACATTTAATGGTGGAAAAAATCCGATGTTTAAAACTATACATAGCGCTGAAAACTCAATGAATTTCATTTCTGATTTTGTTTCTTACATAGATGGAATGAATTGTAAGTTTTAATTTCTTTTGCATTGTAAATGTATTTTTTATGCGTGTAAAATAAATACTTAACTTTTAGCTAGTTATATTTGTACTGATGTATTATTGTAAATGTATTTCAGTGTCAGTAACTGCAGTTATTTCAGATGTACTATCGCTTTTAGTAACTCGTACTCTTTTCATGTAATTAAAATAGGAAATTTATTTGGTCTTAACTAATTCTGTAATACAAATGACTGCTGAAGATAATGTTGATTTATTATGTAAATATAATACAGCAAGTTTTCTTAGTTTGGCTAAAATGTAATTTGAACATTACTGAGGAGATAGACTCCTATTATACTTATAATACTAATGCTTTGGGAATTCAAAAGTAATTTTTTATGAGAGTCATGTAATTAGCAAATTTTTGTGTTTTCAAGTGGGGCCACAATTAATTTACCCTCAGCATAGCCATCATGCACTACGCAGCTACACTGAAATTTTCTTAAATCATACCTAGAAAACCTATAACAGTCAGGGAATTTCATTCTTCTGTTAGAGTAGCAATCCTGTGCTATGCATGTGGGAGTAGATGTGTCTGAAAACATCATGATCCAGTTCTTCAGTGGGCATTGACTGCAGCTGCAGGTTATCTAGCACACATCAGCTAGTGAACACAAAACAGGATCGAAACAGTTGTCTGCATTTCTGGAGTGGGTAAACTGTAAGACTGATGTGTATTTTGAAGTTATTTAAGGCTTTACAATCTTTTGTTGTAGTTATGTCTGTAGAAAAAATAAAATACTTACATATTTTCAAAAAAACATGTGCATACCTGCCAACTTTTACGAATTTTTCGTAATTTTTACGAAAATGCGTTTGTCTTTACAATTTTACGATCGTAATCCATTTTTTACATTTTTTTCCTTTTTCAAGTGTTTTTAGTGATTTTTGTCGAAATTTTAGAATTTTTCGCCAATTGTATCATGTTTTACCGCTAACTACCGACTACTTCGAATCCAGTAACCTGCGGTTTCTCCCAACTCGCCGCTTAACCAGCCAAATTCAATGCGCTGAACTTGTTTCTCCCACTGTTTTCTTTGTGGGCGCCAGATTATTTTTTTCGCGTTCGCTTCAGCATCAAGGGAATTACTCGGCGAGCGTGGATTGTCGCATTCTGTTTTTTCTTTTTGTTTGCATGGGATACGAATTTTCTTAATACGTCATTGTTACGAAATGAGTTCAAAAACACCGTATTCTCAATATTTTCGACCTGCCTACAAAGCCTAATTTCCAACAATTAAAGAATCCTTCAAAGGAAATAATTATGCATTTTGCAACGTGTGCGTGTGTGACTTCATAATAAGTCACGGTGACATTGTGAAGCATGTTAAGTCTAAAAAGCATGAAGTTAATGCTTCGGCTTCGACAACAATCAAGATCATGAGAAAAAACAATTTTTTCAATGTGTTAGAAAGTACTTTTCCTCAGCCTGTGATTACATTGTAAGGAAGTTTCCTTTGCAAAATGAAGTTCTTTTAAATGCTGAAGTGGTAAATTTGAAACAAATTGAAAATTCATCTTTTGAAAAGATTCTTCTTTTTATTGATAAATTTCCATTTTTGTTAACAATTAAAGAAAATGAATGCCATAATGATGCTTTAGATGAACTACAGAACCAATTTTCTGCTGCACAGTTTGAAGACTGAATAATTTGAAGTAATGCTGAGTGCAAGAGAGTCTTCAGTGTTGTGAAGAAAAACAAAACTATGTTTCGTTCTTCAATTTCACCAAAAACTCTAAAAAACATTTTAATTGCTAAATGTTATGAGGAAACTAATTGTTATGACAGGAAATTTTCCAAAGAATTTTTGGCTAAAGCCAAAAAATGCACTCTAAATTCATTGCAATAATTGTTTTTTTTTTTTTTTTTTTTTTTTTTTTTTTTTTTTTTTTTGTGTAACATTAAGTTCTTGTTTTATGTTTCCTAATAAATTTTTTAGTTACTACTTAATTGAGATTTACTAATGTAAGTACAATTTTCTTTTTTCTATTTGTGTAAATTGTTATTTTTTTAATATCAAAGCATGATATTAATTCTTCGTGTTCTTCTGAATTTTGGAGAAATCTTCTGAATTTTTATCTTTAGGGGTTAGCAGGTATGCATGTGCATTCAAACCTCTATTTATCCCATGAAAAACTGTCCAAAATGAATATTATGATAAAACACGATTTGAGATAAATTTTAAATGTGAAAAGTAGTGAAATGGAATATAAATGCAAAATTATGTACATTAATGTACCCATTGTTTCAGTTATGCATGAAAATTACATAACTATATTAAAAAAATAAAGTTACTTTTGTTTGTTTGAATTTTTGGAAACAACATTTTATGCCATAATTAGCAAGTCTCACATCTTTGTAATGCATGGAAAACATCTTCTGGTACATTTCCTTTAACCCCTTAATCGTTGCAAAATTTTTCCAAAATCATCATTTTTTTTATTAATGTTTTTATTGCTTATGAAATTTAAAAGAAATTCATATAATAAATGCTATATTTTTCGTTAAATTTAACAGTTTTATTAAATATGTAAAATTTTTTATTAACTTACCTTGTTTTACTTTATATTTCACTTTCTTCTTATACCCAAGCTAGGTACATGCAAATTCTGGAGAGAGAAAAATCACGTACATTTAAATAATGCACACTATTATCTGCAAAAAGGTGATGCTGTTATTCAACATCGATAATAGCTGTAATATTTTTTCAAAAATTTAACAATTTTTCTGGGTATGGTAAAGTTTGAAAGGTTATATGCACAGTCCTACATTCCAGTCTTTAAAACAATACCTCGTTTCTCTCTTAATTCGTTTTCCATTTGCATTCTTCTTTGATGAACACACTTTATATTCTGGAAGGGTTTTTTTATTATTATTTTTTATTCTGTATATGGTATAGGTTCCAAAAAATGTCGTTCAAATAAACGATTTGATGGCACTTCACTCGATGGACAACCTCGTCTTGAAAAATTGATAAAAGGATGATATTTGTCAATTTCATCGATAAAATCCAGTCTAAACTTTAAATGTGACTTTTTTTTTTACCTACTTTTTTTATAAACTTGAAAAGCATTGAAAATGGCTTGGTCTGAAAGGTGAAGGAATATTTTTTCCCCACTGTTTCTTGCTACTTAATAACTAGAAAGGTATTGATATACAAAATCCCCACCTCCCATTGTTTTATTGTAGTCAATTATTACCTTTGGTTTTGTTTTCAGTTTTTTACTTCAGATCATTACTTCAACAGAGTCAGAATTATGAAAAAATGATAACATTGTTACGTCCTTTTTGTCCTTCTCTTTGAGAGCGAGGATTTTGCCATGTCTAAATATAAATTGATATAACTTCCTCAGTTGTTAATTTATTTTTCAATGCTAAAGGTAAATCCTTTTTGTTCTGTCCAACAGTTCCAACCACATTAATTCTGGTGAAGTGTAATAATTATCTAAGGTGATGCTGTAGACTTGATTTAATAATGGCATCATCAGAGTCATAACAACTTGTGAAGGTGCCGAGAGAAATCAGAATTTAGGGTGAAACAAAGCACCTTTACCAGTATATATAATAAATGACCATATGTAACCAAAACTAGATTCACTTAGCATGTATGTTTTGATACCAAATTTTCAAGGGTATGTATTGGCGCCAGGATAAACGTCCTTTGTACAACATCAGCGTTTTATCTATGGTAATGTCTCTTTCTGGAGCAATGTTTTTTGATATACTTTATTCAGGTGCTCACATATAGGCCAAATTTTGTAGAGTTTCGGGTTAGGATGATTTTCAGAATCGTAAGAATTGTTCACAAAATGAAAGTATTTTTTTATTTCACAGTATCGATTAAATGACATAATTTTATGGAAAAAAAGGAGTTTCTACTGATGATTTCTTAGTCCAATACATGCTTTCTTCAGAGTGTTTATAATACCTTGTAAAACTGAAAGCGAAAGGAACAAATGCATTTCATGTGCCAATTACAGGTTTCCATTCTCTTCTACCTTTCAGTTTCCTTTTCCCAACAACATTACCTAATTGCTCAGCATAACAATTAGTCTCTTTTACAATTATATCCACTGTTTCATCATTTATAAAATGCTCATAGTATTGTAAAACGCCTGCACTGGTTTGGAATAAAATATTAAATGTAGGCAACAATTAGGACTGAAAATGGGGAGGACAAATATCTGGGACATCTGCATTTGCCATAATTTGGTTCCATTGGTGCCCTGGTAAATGTGGCATGAGATAGTTACTATTGTCTCTTATCTTCAGAATCAAAAGCATCTGAAAGAAAGCTGCCTTCTGAATCACTTCCCGATTCTTCAAGACTTAAATTCTCTTGTTCACTTGAATTATTCATTTTACAAACATTAAACACAAAAAAGCGATTAGCTGCATCCTTTCTAAATATGTTCTTCTTCAATGGCCAGAAAGCCCAGGATGGGCCTTTGCCTTCATTAAAATCGAATTCCAAGCTCTTCTATCCTTGGCCATGGACATCCAATTAGTTATTTTAAAAATCTTAAGTCTGTTTCCAAACAGTCGAGCCACCTAAGATTAGGTCTCCCTCTTTTTCTGGTGCCGAATGGTCTGGCTGAGATATTTTTAGTTACACGATTTTCATCCATTCTACACAGGTGTCCTGCCCATTTAATTCTCTGAATCCTTATATATTTTATTATATCTAGCTCTTTAAAGGATTTATAGAGTTCAGAGTTAGTTCTTCTCCAGATATTGTTACATCTTATGCCACAAAAAATACTTCTCAATATTTTTCTTTCAAAGACAAAAATGATACTTTTAGCTTTTTCTGTCATTGCCCAGGTTTCAGCAGAGTATGTAAGAATGGGTCTGATTAAGCTTTTGTAAATTAGAATCTTTGTTTTTCTGCTAGTGAAGTTATTAGACTTCAAGTATTTTTTTAGACTGAGAAAACATCGGTTACCATTTGTGACTCTACTACGGATCTCAGGCATTAAATCATGGAGAATATTAACTTCTGATCCTAAATATTAAAATTTGCTAACAGTTTCAAAATTTGTAATTCCCAATTTCAAACTAGGGCTACTGTTATTACCACATGGCATGTACTTATTTTATTTTGGTTGATTGTTAGATGCATTTTGCCGGCTGCAGTCTCTAGAGATGTAACAGCCTCTCTAACTGACTCGGGAGTGCATGCAACTGTGTCAATATCATCAGCAAACACAAAAATCTGAACAGACTTGTTAAAGATAGTTCCACGAGTATTAATGTTGGAGTCTTTTATGATTTTTTGGAGGGCAAGGTTAAAAAGCAAGCAGGCCAGTGCATCACCCTGTCTGAGCCCATTTGAAACAATAGACTCAGAAAGATTATTCTGGATTTCAACCCTAAGCTTTCTCTCAGTAAGAGTAATGGTGACCAAATTTATAAGTTTTTCAGGTATAGCGAATTCTCTCATAGCTTCAATTAAATATTTTCTGTTTACCGAGTCATAGGCAGACTTAAAATCAACAAAAAGATGGTGCGTTGTAATGCCATATTCATTAGTTTTTCCAAAATTCGCCTAACATTAAAGATTTGTTCTGTTGTAGATCTACCTTTGCGGAAACAGCATTTTTAATCACCTACAATGTTTTCTGTATAAATTATTAATATACTAAAAAGTATATTGGAAAATAGTTTGTAAAAAACACAAAGGAGACCAATTTCCCTGTAGTTGGTACATTCCAAAACGTCTCCTTTTTTGTGTACAGGGCAGATGATGCTCAGTTTCCAATCTTCGAGTAAAACTTCTTGGTTCCAAACTGATTCAATGAGGTGATGTACTGTCTGTCTAAGAGAAGAACAGCTCCCCCCACAGTGTCTGGCGGGTGGCAGTTGCTATAACAACAAGGCTAGTACATTTCTAATAGGGATGAAACGAGGGTTGCTTTATTGTTATTTTGTTTTTGACGACTGTTGGCTGAGGGGGAAAAGAGTTATCATTCGTCTTCAAGGCACTCCTACAGAAAATGGGTCATGGCTCATTTCTACAGCAACAGACAGCTGCAAACTAACTGGCGAGAGCTTTTCTTATGGTAGACTGTATTTCCTCAATGTTTTGACCCTCAGCACTTTTAACGAAGTCTGGGCCTGGGGCCCTGTTACTTTTGAGCTTTTTAATTCCTTCTCTAACTTCTGCCAAAGATGGTGGTAGGATACTATCGGTGTTTGCAAAGGTAATTGGATAGGTTGAAGACCTATCCCGTGCATGGTCATTCAACAAGTTAGTAAAGTACTCATTCCACCTGTGAAGTACCTCTTTTCTATCATTTAGGATGATGTAGTATTTGTCTTTACAGGCAGTAGTTCTAGGCTTAAAGTCTTTGCGTCCTATATTAATTTCAAGATAGAAAGCACTGCTTTCATTGGACCCCCTCAGATGTTTAACATCCTTAAATAGATCATCGTGAAAAGTCTTTTCTTAAGCTGATGGATCTTCTCCTGTTTTCTAGATGTCTTATATTCCTCAACAGAGTGTCTTAAATGTCGCTTTTGGATCATATTTTTATAAGCAGCCTTTGCCTGCATTACAAGGAAGCATTCATTATCAAACCAATCCCTTGGTTTGGTTTTTTCCATATATCCCGGTCTGTTGTCAGCTTAGTGGATTATCGAGTCTTTGAGCATACTCCACTTATTTTCCATGGTTTCCAGTTTGGCCATGTTTTTAGATCTTAGTTCTCACCTGAGTGAGGACTGGAAATTTCGTTCAATTGCCTCATTTTTCAGCTTTTCACAATCAAACTTTTTTTGCCTCCTGTATCTTTCAGGTGTTTGAAATTTTGGCAATTAGTTTAGAAATATTCAAAAAGTGGTCGGAATCACAGGTAGCACCTCAATAAGTTCTAGCATCCTGGATATCCGAAGAATGCTTAGAATCGATGAGTACATGATCAATCTGATTCCAGATTTCTCCATCAGGTGAGTGCCAAGTCATATGTATTCTCTTGTGGCTGAACACAGTGCTTGAAATTATCAGCAGCAAAAAGTACTAGTCGTTGTTCATTGTCATTAGTGCTATCATGTAAGCCATGCTTTCTAATTTTTGGTCTAAATTCATCCTCTTTACCCAATTTAGCATTCACATCTCCCATAACAATTTTAATGTCATGCTTGGGACAAGATCCGTATAACATAGAAAGTTCCTCGTAAACATTTTTCTTCTCTTCTTCTTCCTTGTCTTCTGTAGGTGCATGTCCATTAATAATACTGTAATTAAAAAACTTTCCTCTTAGCCGAATTTTGCAAAGTCAGGGGTGATTTAGGAACAAAATCAATATTATTTGATTTACTTATATATTAAACTTATGCATTATAAAATATCTGATAAACCACATTTCTTCAGGTAAATGAAGCTGAAAGTGAAAGAGTATTGAGTCAACATGCGCATCAGAAAACTTCATTAGCTTACAATGAAGCAGAAAAAGTTGTGCAGCAACTACACCAAGAATTGAAAAAATCTATTATAAAATCAAGGTATAAAAAATTTATTATCAGAATATCAACTTTTAATATATCAGCTCTGTTTAAGTAATTTCTATTTCAGGATTGCGTTAAAATTTGTAAATGGTGAAGGGAACTATTTAGAATAAAATGTATTATTATGTGTTTCAAATGTAACTTTTAATTATATGTGTATCTCACTTCAGCCCTTTTTCCGATGTAAAAAAAAATTAAAACGCTTAAATCTGATTTAGAAAGGACAACACAGTCTTTAACTTCAGTTAAACTCTCAACTTCTAAATATTCTAATATCCAATAATAAGTTTTATTTATTACAGTATTCTAATTCTGATTTTCTGAACCACAGTCTTTCAACACGCAGAAGCTTGCTTCAACTAAACAATCTAGCGAATCAACACCAGTTACAACTTTTGTAAGTATATAACATTACGTGACTTCAGGCCACACATTTTCATTTATTTGTTTTGTTATATTTTTGCTTTATTTATATTGGCTAAAAAAGCAGCAAGTTGAAGAATATCATTATAATTCAAATGTTCTACATTAAAAAAAATAAATGTTGATTATAATATTTTAAAAGCTTTAGTCTCACAGTTTGTTCTTAGATTAATTGAAACAGTTAGTATAAAAATGTATGTTTCTAAACATAAATTTATTTACTAAGAATAAAATTTAATGATATATGTCTATGGTGATATTTCAGATTAATCGATGTAGTCCTTATTCTATTTAAACGGAAAATGTGTAGAAGTCTTGGACTATTATGAGTATGTAAAAAGCAAGTGTAAAATGATATCCATGTGAGCTTAAATCATTATCATGTTCTATATGATTAGTAATGCTAGATGGCCTAGTGCAGTACTCCATTAAATTCAAGAAATTTTGCTTATGTTAATGAGCATAATTAGCTTTTAAAATGCCTTTTCTTTTTAATAAATAGATGTTAATAATTCTTGTTAAAAATTATGAAAAATATTTTAGGTCAGTTTGCATTTCTGCTGTATATTCTGATTAGTAGAAGCATATAAAAATTACATTAAAAATTGTTTCTTATTGTGAATTATCTTAACCGCTTGTGCTACGACAAAACGTCACGGGGTTGCGGTGCCGTGCACTACAATACAACAAGCGGTAAAGTGTCTCATTTACGCTGCTCCGCGTCTGCGAGTGCAATCCAGAGCTGTAACTCGAGAAATAAACAAACTCGTTGTTAGGCGATGTGTGCACCACGTTATTTTCATTTTTTGCGATAAATGCCTAACAATCTCATTGGTGTTCACGTTGCTCGCGGTTTGAGACAAAAGTATCTCGCCGTGCGTGGCATGTCTTTTTAGCGCAAGTGTTTAATATATATATATAGTAACGATTGCAGTATGTTGGATTGTTACTAGAATAATCTGTAGCTTAGTATTAGCTCATTATATGACTATAATAATGGGCTGGGGGCATGAAAATGGACATTATACAACACAAATGTGTTAAAATATCAGTGTTTGACTCTTGGGTCATCTGGTCAATTTTAGACTGAGCTAAATATGCTTTTAAATGACTTATTTGTATTAACATGTGCATAACCGTAACTGTTATACTGACATAAGATTTAGTAGTCTTAACAAGGAATGTCTGAAATATGTTTCCATACCTGAAGCATTGATTTATGTGGGGTAAGAAATTTTTTAGAAAATCATAGGCAAGTGGCATTTTGTAGAGTTGCTTGTAACAAATTTGCATAAAATGCTGCTGTTATGTTGCTTGAAAGCTATAAATGAACAATTCACTCTCAATAAAAATGTGCTTTGTTAGAATGTGTATGAATTGTAAAGTTATATTATCAAAGAGCAATGCAACAACTGCTCTGTTATATTCAGACATTGAAAATCTTAAAGGCCACGTCTGTCAACTGTTGCAGTTAGGATGACGATTTTACCTTTTAAAGACATTGGAGACTTGCAAGACGTAAGCCACTGTTAATGAGAAGGTTATTGGATAGCATTTGCAGAAGGCTGTTCTACAGTATAGAAAATTCTGTAAAAATTTATCAAACTGTAAGATTAGGCAGCAACAAATCAATGAGCAAGGGATGTTTTGGATAAAAACAAGATATAATGATCCTTGGGACATTATGGGATGTTTTGAGTCTCATTTTTGTCTGAACGATGCTTTAAACACCCATTTTGGGTTCAGTTAAAGAACTGGATAACCCACCAGTGGCTGTGTGGTTAAGACTGCTGAATGTTGGGAGTTCAAGCTAGTCTTGATCCCAGGCGAAAGGCCTGGCTGCATGGTTGGTTTTCGTTATTTCCCCATGTGTAACATGAATATGAGCTAGTTATTTGAGTCCTCCACAAAGGCATCTCTTCTCTTAGGCAGCTAACCCTCTCATACTTTGTCATATTCAATAATCTAACCTAACTTGAATGATTAGGCAAACTTCAGTTTCATTCCACAATTAAAGTATTTTGCCTGGCTAAGATAACTTTTATGCAGAATGAAGAAACTTTTGTGTAACCAATACTAGATTTTTAGGCAGTGCTGTGCAGAAGAAAGTGAGTGTAATTTTTCACATTTTTTTACTACCTTGCTCTACTGCTATTATTCTACATATATTTGAAAGCCAGCATCTATTGTGGCACTGTTTCTAATCTGACATCCTGAAGCTGAGAAGTCTGCAGAAAATGCTTGTAGGTTAAAGCGTTTGCAGAAAATCCTTGTAAGGGAGTTTTGTTTGAAGTGTTAAAAATATGACTTGGTTGACTTCAAAGTAATAATCATCTGAACGCACATTGTTATTCTAGCACTAGTTCCATAGCTGGAAGTACTAGAAGAGCACTTCATTTGCTATCTGTTGATTAACCATTGCATAGTATCGGTAAAATATTGCCCCTTAGTTTCATAACCTTGTTTATAAAGCTGGAATTTGCTGTAGCTTCCTCAAAAAGATCAATCAACCTTTCCAGCTAATTCTGGTACCTAAGGTCCTTTCTTTAGACTAGGTGTAGATCCACAAATTATAATAGATTGATATAAAACAGGAATCTTGCAGCTCTAACCAGTATGCAGATTCTCAGCATTTATTTTATAACATTTGTGATTCATATCAGATGCTCTTATTCCAAACACAATTTTTGAGCGTTAATTTTTTATGAGCTTCTGGTCGTATTTCTAAGGATTCTACTGTAGACTTTAAAACATAGCAATATTTAGATCCAGTATCAATCAAAGCTTGAAGATGAAGTTTCTTTCCTTCATGTTGAATGGCAGCCTCTAAAGTTTGAAGCTAAACTCTTCCTGAAGTAGATGAAGAAAGAGTGCTAATTTCACAAATTTCTTGATTGCACTTGACATGAACTTTTGATTTCTGCTAAAAAATTCTGGACAACAAACAAAGTATTGCTTTCTACCACAAAGCATGCATAGAACTTTGCTTTTACAATTTGTAACTTGATGGTTTGTTTTCAAACACATAAAGCAACACTTTTTACCTTTTGTAATTTTCAATTTTTCATCATGACTTAAATTTTGTGCTTTGTAGCAATCTTTGCTTTGACGAGATTTTTCACAGAATATACAATTTATTAAATTATTGTTATTTATTTCTTTTGCTGCCGAAAACTAGTTGCTTGCAGTAGGCATAGTAATATCTTCCCTATCCTTATGAATTTTTGTGTAGGGATCACTGGTTCATACCTGACTTTGCTAAAGTTATTCTTTCTTCTAAGTAATGATTGGCTCTGTTTTGTCAGAGATTTTCAAACAGGAAGAGGGTGTGCTTCAAGGCTGTGTGCTTAGTGTAACCCTGTTCAACCTAAAAATAAGTTCTGTATTAAAACAATTTCCTCCCACCATTTCAGGATCTTTATATGTTGATGATCTACAAATTAGCTGTCGAGGTGCAGATATGAGACATGTAGAGAGGCAGCTCCAGATTGCTTTGAACAGGATCCAGAAATGCACAAACAGACAAGGATTTACGATTTCGAAACAGAAGACGTGTGGGCACTTTTGTAGAAAGCGAGGTCTCCATTCTGAGCCTGAATTATATCTCAATGGGTCAATGATTCCAGTTGCACCTGAAGTAAAATTTTTAGGGGTGATTGTTCGACCAAAAATTGACTTTCCTTTCTCATATCCTAAACTTGAGAAAGAAGTGTACAAAAATTTTTAATATTTTAAAAGTCTTGGCGAACACCTCCTGGGGTGCAGAACATTGTTCTATTCTTCGCATTTACAGAGCTCTTGTTTGCTCTAGACTGGACTACGGCTCAGTTGTTTACGTATCCGCTCGGTCTTCAGTGTTGTTAAAACTAGATCCTGTTCATCTTCAAGCTCTGTGGATTTGTTCTGGTGCTTTCAGGACATCTGTCCAGAGTCTTTATGTTGACTGTTACAAACCATTACTCCGTTTGAGACGTGAGTTGTTGTCTCTTTTACAGTATTTTAATATATTGTCTCAACCTGACCATCATTATAAACTGTGCTTACTTGATAATAGCTGTGGCCTTTTATTTGAAGCATGTCCATCATGTGTGCCTTCTTTTCCTATCAGAGTTCGTCCTCTCATTGAAGAATTCTCCCTTTCTGATATGTCCCCACAAGCAGTACAGCATTTTGAAATCCCATCTTGGAAAAATGCACAAATCCAGCTTCTTTATATTTTTCACAGTTACGTCAAAAGAACCACTAATGAGATCATGTACAGACAAATTTTTGCTGAGCACAGGCATAGTTTGCAGCAGTTATCTTTCCATATATAGGAATGGATCCAAGTCAACTTGTCATGGGATGTCATTTATATAATTGGTGACCACTTGGAGGGCAGACATTTACACGACGTCTCCTCGGTCTTAACCTCTGAACTGACTGCTATATATTGTGCGCTTTTGTATATCTCAACACTACGCCACAAAAATTCATTATATACATATATACAGACTCCCACAGTGCATTGAAAGCTTTAGAATCATTTTCCAGCACCGAGAATCCTGTGATAGTAGATGTACTGAAGTTGAGTATAAACTTAACAGGTCGGGTGTATGAAATTCAGTACTGCTGGGTTCCCGGACATACAGGAATAAAAGGCAATAAGCTGGCAGACATCACAGCGAAATATGCTGTTGAAATGTCCGGCCGCCTCATCTCTTTTAGAGATATCTGTTGTGGCATCAGAGAGAAAATAAGAAAAAAAGAAAGAAAAAAAAAATGGCAGCAACTTTGGGACAGTCAGCTTCATAGCAAGTTGAGAAGGGTAAAGGCTAAAATAATGCATTGGTATACCACTAGCAATCGTAAGGAAGAAGTTCTTTTGACTCACCTTAGAATTGGTCACACTAGAGTGACACATAACTACCTTCTGAAAGCTGAGAACGAGCCTGTTTGTGCAAATTGTAATATTTGTCTCTCATTCCATCACAT